TGGCGGTACCAGCCTCTCGAAGGTACAAATAGAGTGCATATTGCCCAAATGGGGTTACAACTGTCGGGATTGAGATTTCAAATGCGACAGCTTCATGGTCATCGCTCCATTATAGACTGATTTGAATTATTTGGGGCATATTTAAGGATTGAATGTAGATTTTGTTTACGTTCATAACACGCGAAAAGTCGGCGTTCATCAACAAATGAACATTCAATCCTTATACGTGTATTTGGGAATCTATTACCGGTCTTTTAGGATAGAATTATTGCCATAATATAGCCTATCATTATTGTCACAGAGAATCACGTCATTACGATGGATTAAATCGACATGTAAATCTGTGTAATTTAAGGTTAAATTGGGAAAGATGATAAACAAAACTTCAATTTGGTAGATTTGCATGGATGGCGGAATGGCCTTTTAGTAAATGTTCTTCATTGAAGTACCTGTGTTCTCTAGAAGACATTTATTGAACAATTTCCTGTCAAAGTTTTTTCTACCAGGCTACATTTGATAACTTTTGACCAGGTAGTGATAGGAGTTTCCAAAACCCGCCATATTTCTACTTCAGCATCTCCTTTAACTGGATTCTCATTTGTGATCCTGATTTTTGTTTTATTTTGGTACATTACCTTTTGATTTGTACCACTCTGAATATGGGTAATTTGCAACTAAAAACAATTAGTGAAAAAATTTAATTTTTTTTTGTTACAAGGGACGACTGCATGAGTGCTCATATCCAAATAAATTTTTGTCTTATCTTATCTTTCACATATTTGTGTATTTTTCATTGCATTACATATATATTACATTACAAGACAACAAAAGAAGGCAATTTACTTGGACTTTTTCACCATTTAATTTGATGTTATTGTAATGTACTTTTCATAAGCTTTCTAACAATGTCATATTTTAGTTGTCAACCTAAAAGATTTTAGGTGATTGACATATCTATATGGATTCTTGGTTCATTTCTAATAAACTTAGCGGAAAAATTCACCAAAAGAAAAAAATAGATTCATACTGCACTTTTTCACAGCTTTAAATGAATATATTAGATAATATTCATTATCAAAATTTGAGAAAAAATACTATTAATTAAGAGATTATATATGAGTTTAAAAGATTATGTATCATACCAGGTTAGCAGTTCATAAAGGGTTAATGTGAAAATGTTGTTGCGGACTTTTGTGTAAGTTCTAATTAACTGAGCGGAAAAATTTGAACAGAATTAAAATGTGCAAATTCACAGCTTTAAAACAATATATAGATCAATATGTATAAATGAAAATTTACCAAAATTTTAAGAATAAAATTATAGTGTTAAGGAGATTGAGTAACAGGTCATAAAGTCAAATGGTGATGAGAACATAGTCTCATGAAAGCACTGGCCTAGGTCACAAAGTAAAGATTTATGATAAAACAAGGTACAAGTTAAAGGTTAAGATAACTAGATATGTTAACTAAGGATGTCTCTGTAATACTATCTTTGGTAGTATCATTTCTTTAGCTGAAATAGCTGAAAATATAAGAGTCAACATTCTTCTGATATATCAATAATCATCTCAAGATAAAACCTGTATTGTGAAACAAAATCTTTTCATGTATCTATAAAAATATAAGAAGCATCAATATAAATTGTACGAAGCCCCTTGGGCGCAATTTTCCGTACTTATATCAAATAATTCGTTTAAACTAAATAACTAATTCGTCTAAACGAAATGATTGTCAATACTAAACTATGCTTAAACAAGACTGCTTATATTATTAATTAATAAAATCGTTATTTCCTGAGTATATTGTCGATTATATTCTGAAATTTCAGTCGACATTGCTAGAGTAAGCTTCTTCTTAGTTTTATTCTTAGATAAAGAAAAATAACTTTTCAACTAAATAAATTTTCAAGCAACAGGAAAAAAAATCAAATCAACAAAGAAACACAAAAGGCAATCAATAAATATAACTAGAAATCCAACCCTTTAAGGCATGTAGTCATCTATATATTGCCTTTCCCAATGGTTATTTAATTCAAGCTAAGTAAAACGACTTTCGGAATTCAAATAAAACGTCTGTCTGAAATTATTGAATTTAATTAGTGTAATCTTTTGGTAAAGTGGCGGGTGTCGCGTTCGAAGCAAATCATGCTTACTCTTTTAGAAACACCTGATGGTACTTTTCTTTGGAGGAGTCCAGTACTATACAACATTTACTCTCGATTTTGCCCTTCTTTGGACAAGATTTTTGATTCATGGAATTGTCTGTCTTGTACGGAATTTTTAATTTAGAACATCGACACATCCACGAGTAGATGCTAGTACTTGCGACTTCTCAGATGCTGAATTGACAAACCTAGTTACAGAGTGTCCTCGAGTGTTTTGGAAGATTGAGTCTGACCTGCCCCGCTAGCGACATTTACTATACTTAGACCTCAAAAATCAAAAGAGATTTTCACATTTACCGAATAAACCTTTAAAGGATTGTTAAGAGGTTTTCTACATTTTTTATGTGTATTGGGACAATGATAGCATCAATTTGTCTCATTCCAATGTTCAATCAGACATCTGTGATTCCTACAATTACACAAAAACTGTTTGGTGACGTCACTAATTTCAAAATATGCTATATCACGTAAGCCCTTTGCGATTAGTGACGTCATTAAACACTTAGTTTTAGTCTCACAAACGTCTGATTGAAAATTGGAAACGAAGTCAAGGGGGCGCTTGTGGTGTTAGTGGTTCTAATAGATCAACTACAAGGTAATTTCATATATTTTTAGAAATAGATTCAGATTTTGCTTGTTCAGAGTTCTAATAGAAATTTGAATGGTGAAAATAGATGCTATCAGTGTCCCCGATACACATAAAATATTTAGAAAACCTCTTTACAACCCCTTTAAGAAAGACTATGTCTAGATACGAGATAGATAAAATTAATATCTATTTTAATTTTTAGATAACTAGATGAATAGATAACTTGGTAAATCACGTGACTGAGGCAAGAACCAACCGTTAGCTTTCATTACAGACTATATATTATGTGTTCTTACTTACTGATGTTTGATATGTAGAGATCTTCAAACAGTTGGACTATTTCAGCCTGTATTCTTGTCTTGAGTGTGGGTGCAGCAACATTTGTTAATTTAAACCCGTGTCAACTCCCAGTCTATCATGCATCTAGTGTGACAAAAATAGATCTATAGACAACTAGACCCTTTCAGTCTATATCTCTTATGAAGTTTGACATCACAGCGGAAAGATAATTGTAAACTGAATTTTTCACATTGACAGGAAATTATTTTGCTATCAAAGATCTGGTCCTCAAAAACAAACATTTGATTTGATTTCGTGATTTTCGCCTGATGAAAGTTAAGATGGAATCGCCAGTAATATTTCATTCCATAGTGCTGTGTTTTCTTCTAAAAATTAACGGAAGTGACGCATATAAATGCTTTAAAAAGGAACTGTTACACAATATGACAGCAACCAAAAAACTAATGGGTGTACCAATTTTAAGATTTGACACAGAAATTTTGACATGTTGCAAATATTGCAAATTACATTCACTGTGTAAAGCTGTCAACTTTAACCGTGTCAGTTTTCAGTGTCAACTAATGAGTGAAACACCAACTCCGTCCAACACGATTTTTGAATTTGACAATATTTTAATAGACATGGAAAATTGGATTCAATCATATCTGGGTGCGTGTAAAAACCATAATTGTCCGAATAACACCGTATGTCGTGAATTACAAGATTCCTATAATTGTGAAGTTATCGGGTGTGTGGGTTTTCCGGGTGTTGATAATATCAACTCGTCATCGTTTGAAGCTAAACCTTTGTGGGGGGTCAATGAAATGGTGGAGTATGGTTGTGAACGTGGATATTTCCCGTCAATCAACCCAGTTTGTACCGAAGATGGAACGTGGAGTGAGTTTATCTGTTTACCGTATTCTAGATGTGGTGAAATTAGAAACTGTAATGAAAGTATGGAAGAAAAGGACTATTGGCTGTATTTCCCCGCTTACCAAATTCGAGTGAAAACGTTCTGTAGATGGGGTTTTGGTGGATACGTCAGCCTTCAACATCCGAACATGGCGTCCTTCTCGGAATACAAGATAAAAGGAACAGACTGTTCAACGAGTCCATTAGATAACCCAGAGACCAAGGGAGCTGGAACAACAGAATTTCACAAAATAAAACTGAAGATAAAAAATAGAAATAAAATCGTTGTTGATGAATATTTTTACTCAAATAGTTCTCTCAAATCTCAGAATTATGGTACTGCCCAAGACTGCTTCACTAAAGATAATGGCTGTGGTGTTCTAGGAAAATTTGTTATCGACACCCGAGGGACGGGCTTCAAGTTTCCAGACTCTCTGACGTGGAAAATCGTGGGAACATCACCGGTTATTGTAAATATAACCCGGACTATGGGTGGTCACGTGATAACAGGATTCTGTGGAGGGGATTGTGGTGGATGCAAAGTTGATCAAACTGTCGGAAGTGGAACTCTTCTGGAGATAGATAAGAACGACATGCCTCCGTTCGATTCAGCAGAACTACCACTTTGTCAATTTCTTATATAAATTTTGAACTAAAATGATATCGGAGGATTAGGAGCTTGTCACGTGATAACGGGATTCTGTTGGGGACAGCGTGGTGAATGCAAAATCGATGAAACGAATAATGGAACTTTTCTGGATGTAGATGAAAAAAAAATGCCGCCGTTCGAATCAGCAGAACTAACAATTTGTCAATTTCTGGGATAGCAAAGGGAAATAACTTTTATTTAAAATTTGTGAACTCTTTAGAACCTCCCAAGTCTAGTTACAACGCAAAGGACACCACATATTGAAGGATAAAAAATGTTTTAATACTTCTAATTGATAGATTTATATAAATTAAATCGATATGAAAATCTTTGTAATTTGAGGTTAATGATAATAATATTTGATTGATATTTGATTTAAATAATTTATTCAGAAATCATATTTTAATTCAGTTTAAAATTCTTCTCCCTCTTCTTCTCCTTCACCTTCAACAGAATCAACTCCAACTTCTTCATAATCTTTCTCCAGAGCAGCTAAATCTTCTCTAGCTTCAGAGAATTCACCTTCCTCCATACCTTCACCAACATACCAATGAACAAAAGCCCTCTTGGCATACATCAGATCAAATTTATGATCAAGACGAGCCCAGGCTTCAGCAATAGCAGTTGTGTTACTCAACATACAAACAGCTCTCTGGACCTTGGCTAAGTCACCTCCTGGTACAACAGTTGGTGGTTGGTAGTTGATACCGACTTTGAAACCAGTTGGGCACCAGTCAACAAATTGGATTGTTCTTTTGGTTTTAATGGTTGCAATAGCAGCGTTGACATCCTTAGGAACAACATCACCTCGGTACAACATACAACAAGCCATGTATTTACCATGACGAGGATCACATTTAACCATCTGATTGGCTGGCTCGAAACAAGCATTGGTGATTTCAGCAACAGAAAGTTGTTCATGGTAGGCTTTCTCGGCAGAAATGACTGGAGCATAGGTAGCCAATGGGAAATGGATGCGTGGGTATGGAACCAAGTTGGTCTGGAACTCAGTAAGATCGACATTTAATGCACCATCAAATCGGAGTGAAGCAGTAATGGAGCTGACGATTTGACCAATCAGTCTGTTTAGGTTGGTGTAGGTTGGCCTTTCAATGTCTAGGTTTCTTCGACAGATGTCATAGATAGCCTCGTTGTCCACCATGAAGGCACAATCAGAATGTTCTAGTGTGGTATGGGTTGTAAGGATAGAATTGTATGGTTCTACTACAGCAGTTGAAATTTGTGGAGCAGGATAAACAGCGAACTCCAACTTTGATTTTTTGCCGTAATCGACGCTCAGTCTTTCCATCAACAAGGAAGAGAAACCAGATCCGGTTCCTCCACCAAAGCTATGGAAGATGAGGAATCCTTGAAGACCAGTGCATTGATCAGCCAGCTTCCTGGTTCTGTCAAGAACCAAATCAATGATCTCTTTGCCAACTGTGTAGTGACCTCGAGCGTAGTTATTGGCAGCATCTTCTTTACCAGTGATGAGTTGTTCAGGATGGAAGAGTTGACGGTAAGTACCAGTTCGGACTTCATCTACAACTGTTGGTTCCAGATCAACAAATACAGCTCTTGGAACATGTTTACCAGCTCCAGTCTCACTGAAGAAAGTGTTGAAAGAATCGTCTCCACCTCCAATAGTTTTATCAGAAGGCATCTGACCATCAGGTTGGATACCATGTTCTAAACAGTACAACTCCCAACAGGCATTGCCCATCTGGACACCAGCTTGACCAATGTGGATAGAGATACACTCACGCTGAAAGAGAAGAATATTGTTTGGTAAATATCTCAGTAAGAAGAATAGTGATATAGTCTCCTTAATCTGATTCTGCGTTGGCCCGTAATGAGTAAAAAACTCAATAAATCAGCGAATAAATATGTGGACTGTTAATGAGATTATTTTTGCCAGAATTCGAAGTAGTTAATTTTGTTTAACGTTTGAATAGTGTAAAATACAATAGAATTCTTTTTATAATCACTTAAAAATTTAAAGGGGTTATAAAATGTTTTCTTAATTTCTGAAGATTTGAGTAGTGCCAATTGTGCATGTCCTCGCTACACGTAGAAATTTAGAAAACCTCTTTGATAATGATAAAAATACTCAATAAACAGCAGATCAGATTACAGATCAGATTAATAACGGAAAACAATAGCACACTTTGGTATATTACTCCTAGGTTTTACTATTTTGTTATTTAGAATAATAAGATATACTTCTTAACATTTTACTAGTCTACCCCGGAGTTAAAAAGTGAAACGAAACGATTATACTTACCATATTGAAGGTTTATACAAGTTGAAACTGAACAAAGTTAAAACTGACAAGGAATCTTGCAGGTAGAGTTGAAGCTAACCAAGGCAAGATGTTACCACTGAATGTAGAGTTGGTGATTTAAACTGGTAATTTATACCCGAAACATGAGATCTATTGTCTTGTTGCTTGTTTGTTGTTAGATACTGTTGGGAACATGGTGTACTCTAATCAGCTTTTAGTTAATTTGTCTTGTTCAGGTGAAGTAATCTTGACAATGATTTTGTTGAAATCAGATTGACGTTGATATCTATTATCGAACTGATTGGATTATCGAATTGGATCATAATGGATTATCAAATCAGATTATTGATTTAAGTCGATGTTGTTTATATTAACTGTACACCTAGTCAGATATAAAACACTGTCAAATCTGAAACAGAAACCATTCTACTTGCAATCATACTTCACTTCACTTCTAGACTCTAGTCAGTTCTCACAACCATCAACATGAGAGAAATCGTTCATATGCAAACTGGTCAATGTGGTAACCAGATCGGAGCTAAGGTAAGTAAATACTTCAATGTTCCCATAGATCTCCAAACATTGTCACATCAGCTGCGATTGTTTTTGTCAGCAAGCCTAAACTTTAATGTGAAATATGAATTATCCCTATGATATAATACATTTTTTTAAAGTTTCTGAAACAACAAAAAGTTTAGGTCAAATAACCATAGTTATGAAGAATTGAAAATATCAAGTATATATATATATATGTATTTTTGAATTTCTTTCAGTTCTGGGAAGTGATCTCTGATGAACATGGTATTGACCCAACTGGAACTTACCACGGTGATTCTGATCTTCAGTTGGAGAGAATCAACGTTTATTATAATGAAGCTACCGGTGGTAAATATGTACCCAGAGCTGTTCTCGTCGACTTGGAACCTGGTACCATGGATTCTGTAAGATCAGGACCTTATGGTCAGATCTTCAGACCAGATAACTTTGTCTTCGGACAATCTGGTGCCGGTAATAACTGGGCTAAAGGTCATTATACAGAAGGTGCAGAATTGGTAGATTCCGTTCTTGATGTGGTCCGTAAAGAAGCTGAAAGTTGTGATTGTCTACAAGGATTCCAGTTGACCCATTCTCTGGGTGGTGGAACTGGTTCTGGTATGGGAACTCTCCTCATCAGTAAAATCCGAGAAGAATATCCAGATAGAATCATGAATACCTTCTCTGTTTGTCCTTCACCAAAAGTAAGTTATTATCCCTTTTCTTGGCAAATATCCTTGTTTTCTAAACACTATCAAACGTAATAGAATGTCTTTTTCGAGCTCATGTACATTGTACATAACAGGCAATTTCAAGATTGAAGTAAGCGTCATTTGCCTGGGGTCGACTTTCCATCAATTCATAATCTATTTATTGTATTCAATCTCGTCCTGATCTTTCAGCCAATATCTATATCATACACAAAAAAATTAAAAGTTATATGATAAATTTCTTATAATTTCAGGTATCTGATACAGTTGTGGAACCTTACAACGCCACCCTCTCAGTTCATCAACTGGTAGAAAATACAGACGAGACTTACTGTATTGATAATGAGGCTCTATACGATATCTGTTTCCGTACCCTCAAACTGACCACACCCACTTACGGTGACCTCAACCACCTGGTATCAGCAACCATGTCTGGAGTGACCACCTGTCTCCGATTCCCAGGTCAACTCAACGCCGATCTCAGAAAGCTGGCCGTCAATATGGTGCCCTTTCCACGTCTTCATTTCTTTATGCCAGGATTTGCTCCTCTCACTTCTCGAGGTTCCCAACAGTACCGAGCCCTCACTGTACCCGAACTCACCCAACAGATGTTCGATGCCAAGAACATGATGGCTGCCTGTGATCCTCGTCATGGTCGTTATCTGACAGTAGCTGCCATGTTCAGAGGTCGTATGTCAATGAAGGAGGTAGATGAACAGATGTTGAATGTTCAGAATAAGAACAGCAGCTACTTTGTTGAATGGATTCCCAACAATGTTAAAACTGC